TATATATATATATATATATATATATATATATATAAGTTTGTACGAATTATTAGATTTGTAAATATCTATATATGTATATTTTGATTCTAACATTCGCATGCATGTATGTATACGTACCTTGTAGAATCACTTCGTTCTTCATGCTCCTAAACATCTATTCACAGAGATATACAACATTATGTATGTATATATAGAGATAGATATATATGAGATCACATAAGAAGATTCGGTAAAAATAGCGACTTTTACATCCAATATATATAAATATAATGATATAGACTTAGGATTACGTGAGACCAGTCTGTTTTCATGAGATCACTTTTTTACACTTAAAATTTCACAGCAAAACGTTGTGAAGGTAATCTTGCTGTGAAGGTTCGGTTTTTTTTACCTTCACAACATTTTGTTGTGAAGTTTCAAGTGTAAAAAAGTGGTCTCACGAAAATAAGTTGGTCTCACATCAATCCAACCCTAATGATATATATACACATGACTTTAACCTGAAGATGGCTCTTGACATGAGATACAGTTAGTCCCTTCACATTCATCATCTGCAAAATCATCTTTGGAGTTGCCCCTACTCCAAAAATATATGATTAATACACACAATGACAGCGATATATAATATATATATATATATACACACACATATATGTATATATGTCTGTATATATTTGTGTGTATACGTACATGTGTGTGTGTGTATATATATATATATATATATAGATAGAGAGAGAGAGAGAGAGTGAGTACTATCTTCACCACCGAGTTTTCGAACTGCAGTCACAAAATATTGATGAAGTTCATTGGTCCACCGGAGACGGGGAACCCTAGACCGATGGTAAGTCCGGACGGTGAGCTTGCCTTTGCCTGAGATATTTTCCGGCAACTTATCATCCATTCTCCGACGAACAACCCTAGTTGGACTTTCAGAAGAGCTTCCCATGGTTTCAATGAAAAATGATGACTTTTTTTTCTGAGAGCTTTCACCTTTTAACGTACATAATCAAATTATATATATAAAGACTTCTTGATTGTACGTCATAACAAAACGTTAAAAATCTTGATGACAGTCATAATTAGTTATCCTTTTAAACCACCATTTTCATTGATACAAACAGAAGAAGGTTCTAAATAACATGAGGTATGAGAGTACGTGCGACTCGAATGTGTGATTGTATAACAGTAAATTTTTTTATCATATATAATATTATATATAACGGCTTTCTTTTGCGAACTGTCTAATTCGTGAGATCTATGAGAATCAGTACATCATGTGTTAATTTTATCTGATTCTTTTCATGTATGGTTAGAATTTAATGCAAGTGATTTAACATAACAGTGTAAATAAGAATCGGTCTGTTTATGAAACAAAAAATACACATACAAAAATTCGTTTTATTAGTCGAATACATATGAAACAAACACATTGTGAATCAAATATATGGTTATAAATAGTTTAAATAATATACCCAGATGGAAAAAAATAATGTGAAACAAACTTTAAGATAGAAGTTATCATAGATCCCATAAATTCTGATGTTCTTGAATGATTAAGCCCTTGTATATGTATATAATCTTTTAAATGAAGGCAATTAAGCTAAAATGAATTTGAATAGTCAAGCTCTTAATTGAGATTTTATTTGTTGTAAAAGGGTAATTTAGTCATTTTAGTTTTCAATAGTGGTGAAGAAAGCATGTTTTGCATAGAGAAGTTTCAAGCAATTTCAACCTTGTATGCATATTGGAAATGAAAACATTATGTATGGGTCAATGTCAAGACATTCTTTCTCTATGGAGACAAAGGGCATTATAGTCTTTTTCTCAACAATTGGTTATCTTTATCAACTCATGTAAAGAAGGTTAAAAAGGGAAATTCCTTTTTCCTTTTTCTGCATGTAAAAGTACAAACAAGTGTGTGTTATCATATGCATAGTTGAATATATCCTTATTCCTTCCCACGATGTGTTATACAAAATAAGGGTAATTTTGTAATTTTCTATATCAGAATCAGATTAATTCATGTACTAAAATGTAAACATTAGCAGATATGAGTACATTTAGCTCACCCCTGAATTAATCACGTTATTTGATTTTATCAAGGTACAATTAAATGATAACCACATATATATTGTAAGAACTGTGAAAACTTTTACTTTAAAACATATGTTTGTTTCACAATGTGTTTGTTTCATATACTATCAAAAGATTAGTTGTAATTTCACATATAATTTAATAAAAATATTTAAATAATTAACATCTAGTTTTAAAATTATTTAATTATAAAATAGACATTTAAAATTAAGTAAGGGGGCGTTCGGGATTGTTTATTTAAACTGCTTATTGACTTATTCCAATGAGGATATCAGCAATTTTAAGCAGTTTTTAGTGTTTTGGATTGGGAAAAAAATGTTTATATCGGTTTCAAGCCGGTAATTAAAAGTTTTTGATAAGTTACTCTTCTCTAACTTATCAGATTCAACTTATTAGCTTTAGAAACCAATTTACCAGTGAAACGACCTTTACTTGCAAATCGATAAAACCTTCACCTGCAAAATCAAAAATTGATATCGGAAATCGAAATCGACCTCCAACTCAAACATGTTTTTGGCCAACGATCAAACACCCGAACCTGTTTTTGGCCGCTGATCAAACCCTCGATCAAAGCCTTGGTCCTTGTTTTTGACCGAAGATGGGGATCTTTGCAGATAGATAAAACCCTCGATCAAACCCTTGGTCCCTGTTTTTGGCAGACGATGGGGACCCCTACAAATCAATCAAACCCTTGGTCCTTGTTTTTCGCCAACAATGAGATATTTTCATGTCATTTTCGGTCATTTACATATATAAGCAAAATTTGTCAAACACTAAAATACAATTTATTACGTTTTAGTATCGTTATAAGCTAATTTAAACATTTTTTTTATAAAACTCCAATTTAACATCATATAAGTTAATAAGCACTTTTACAGAAAAACATAAGTTGTTTTAAATAAGCAATCCCAAACACCTCGTTAAGACCGAAATTTAAAAAAAAAAAGTCATAATACTTAAAAAGTGAAATCATCTCCCAAAATTCCTTTTTGAAGTCAACATTCCTTGAATTAATGTGTAGAAAACATCAAATGTTCAGAGGCATATGCGCCTTTTCTCATAGACATGACCATTTTTCTTAATAAAATATTGAAATTTTTAATTAATAATTAATTTTTTTTTATTTTTTTAAAAGAAAATTGTAAAAACCAAATCAAAATATAGGAGTGCTCAAAAACCCGATCAACCTAACTCAATCCGATGTTTAATCGTGCTGTAAAATATATAACTCATTCGTATATATGTTCAGTAACTGTAAACATATATATGTAAATTGAGAAAATTAACTGAATGTAATATACGTAAGAAGTATGGATAAGTTGTATTAAATGGTTGATGATGAAAAAGAAATTATGAGTAGAGAAATAACATATTCAAGGTTAGAATAGTATTTTAATGTACCAAAGTATCAATCCGACCAACCCGTACGGTTTGGGTTAGGTTGGGTTGCACTTTAGTTTGGGTTAAGATTTTCAAACCGCAAACATTAGGTTGGGTTGTTCAAATGTCTTCAACCCGATCAACTCAACCTACGAGCACCCCTACATATATACGTGTGTGTGTGTGTGTATAACGGCCTAATCAAATGAGAACTAATTAGTTTGTGGTAACTATAAGATCGAACGTGAGCCAATCATTTAATATAACTAATATTTTTCTTAAAATAAAAAAGTAGGGTAAATTAGTAATTTGTGTTGATTATTCAATTTACTATAATTAGTTTAATATTTCAATTTATTTTAATTAGATTAATTACTTTATTTTATATATATATATATATACACGGACACACAGGGACCAAAATCTGGTGGCCTCCTCCGACAAGTAATGACCTCCTCTGGTCATCTTTTCCGACCAAGACGTTGCCGACGGCCATCTCCCTTCCCCCATCCCCGTTACTGACCACCATCTACATCGACATTCCACTCGATCTCCCCGTCAAACACCCTCATCGATTACCTTCCAACACCTTCCATCCGGTAGCACCCACCATCCGGGAGAACTCTCCACTTCGGTGGTCATCTCCATGCCAACCTTCTTCTCCAACCCAACCTCCAGACCTGCAACACACATACACACACTGCAGACATACACATTGCACACACACATACAACACATACTATGCACACAGTTAGTATCACAATGGTACCACGGTTGGTATCATAGTGGTCTCAAAGTTTACTTGGTGTGTTTTGGATATCATATTGTATGTATTTTGGGTATCAGATTGTGTATCTTAATGTATTTTGAGTATCACATAGTGTTCGTCGAAATAAGTTTTACAGTAGGCAGGAAGCAGGAGTGAGAGACAATGGAGAGAGAGAAATACTTAAATACTTAAAATGCCCTTTAATTAAAAATTTATGTCAAATTACAAAAAATATTAGTTTCCTAATTTATGTATTTGATTTATGGTTGAGATTGGATCTTACAGTTATCACAAACTAACCAGCTCTCCCTTGAATGAACCCCTATATATATAGACTTGTGATCACGTAAGACCTACATGTTTTCGTGAGACCTGTAAGACTAATTTTTTACACTTGAAATCTCACAGCAGAACGTTATGAAAATAACATTCACGGTGTTTTTACTATAAAAGTTCGGCTTTTTTTTACCATCAAAGAAAAAAACAGGATTGAACAACCATTCATAGGAAGGGATAACATGGACTTTGCCAGTTATAATTAACAGGAAGATATGAATGATGCAACCCAAGTGGGTTCGACCACCGATTCAGAGCAAATTTTCAAGAAATGGAACGAGCCAACAAACAATTTGAGAATCGATGAACAACTCAATGCCCAATAATGGGAAAACCCGGTTCAAAATCTACAACGAATAATGCGGCAATCGAACAAACCAAACTTAACTTCCCGTAAACCGGAACAAGTAGTTCCTAACGAGACCCGACCCAGGTTGCCACCCTCTCGTGACAATCTGCATCGAACCCATCATCGGCTAGCCTCAAAGTGGCCTTGTGTGTCGCCCTCGAGCTCGACCACAAAGCAGCGCGTTCTTCGGGATCGGCAGCTCGTCTCTCCATGAATGCGCCGGAGAATACACCCTCAGATAAAACTGTTGTCCCAGATACTGACGTGCCCAGTTCCCCGATCGTATGTTCCACATCCCGACGTTATCGAGCGCGATATAGATCGCCGTCCACGCCCTCGGGTACACCTGAGTCGTACTACGAGCAACGGTATCTCTTAGATTATATCGTGATCTACTTGCCGGCGTCCACTGCCCGCCATCCATCCTGTTCCACAAACCGAATCAGGTTTTACGGAAAAAACAGTTTTAGATAACGAAAACGGATTCTGAAGAAGTCTTTTCTTACCCGACAACAAAGAACGAGTAGCCATCGATGTGCCACGATTGAACGGTATCCTCCCAGTTTTGGAACACAATCTCGGCAAACGAACGGAAATCGGCGTGCATGACGGAAGTCGAAAGATATGCGTTTCCATTGGAGTACGATTTGTCGGGAATGCCCCCAAGATTGTAGACTCCACCGATCTTAAAATAATCGGCTAGTTTCAAAGGCGTATCTCCGGGAACAAACGACACACCATTGACCGCATATCGTTGCTTGCCGTTGATCCACGGAGCCGAATTCGACAGCATTATCGTACGGCTCGGTTTTATCATTCCATAATGGTATGACCCTTGCGGGTTCGGTCTGGGCCCGCTTGCGGTTAAGTTCCATCTGTTTCAAGAATCATGAACCAAAAAGATCAGATTTTTATGCCAAAATCACATCATTTTTAGAAAATTAAAATATGGGTTATGTTATTTTCCATAACTAACTTGTACTGTACAAGTTGCTAATGCATACCAATTTTTCATGCTTTAGAATCAATCGTTCTAGTGATACCAATGATCAAGTTGTAAACTTGTGATACCAAGAATGTTTAATGCATCAGCAACATGTACCGTACAACTCGACAATGCATACGACCCCATCGGGAAATCAAAACTTACCTCATGCTTCTTGCCTGCATGAGGGACCAGGCAATCTGGGTTGTCGGGCCACCAGGTGGCGGGCCCGACACTCCAATCCTCGAGTTGCGGTAATGGAGGACCCCCGTGGTCATGAGGACACGGCGGGTGAACCGCGAAGACACGACCACATAGTAATCTCTCACCGGCTGGTTGGCGGTGACCAAAACCGACGCGGACTGCCCGAGGTGAAGGTCCAGGGAATTGTAGGAGTTCTGGACTGTATGTGATCCCTCCACCTCCACAAGTTTCATGGTATGCCCTTGGATTCTGAAGTTGATGGATGTTGTCAACCCTACATTTGATATTCTAAATCTATATGTTTTCCCTGTATAAGCAAATGTACAACCCATTAATGCACAAGGTACAATCATCAGTGCACAACACCACAACCTACAACTAAGTAAAGCACGCACCTTGATCGACACCAAAGCTGTAACCATTCCAGCCACGGCCGTTGATAAGAAGTCCATCCGGGGAAGGAATGTTTCGACCGGAGTCCAAAATGTGTCTTAGCCTCTACAAAAACAAAAAAAAGGTCATGAACTTTGACTTTTTCGGTCAAACATACTAATCTCGTAAGCAAACCAAACGAAACCGGAGGTGGGGTCAGGGGAGGGTAAGATGTACCTGGTGGCCTCTTTTGTACCAATCTCCGGCAAGGACAGTGTGGTCTCCGGCGGGGAAAGGGAAAGGAACAGGAATCCGAGGGCGGCTGTAGATCTTAATGCCGCCAAAGCCGCCGGCGGCCTTGTGAAGGCCGAGTGACGGAAAGTAGAAGAAGCTACCGATTTGATCTTTCGCTTGAAGCATGTAAGTGAAATTCTTTCCTGGTGGGATTGGACAACTCGTACCGTAAGTACCATCTTGCCATGAGTTTCTTCGGTGTTGCAGCCCGTTCCTGTAAAAAAAACGAGTTTCGGTTCGCGGGTTATGCATTGATGACTTGTACATTCTTGATACATTTGATATATGAATCTATAAAAGTTTATCATGACCACCATTGTGTACCAAGATTCTTAATCTTTTATTCTAATGAACCAAAAACCACAAGCTCATAAAGATCAACTTATGCATCGGTGACTTGTACATTCTTGATAGATTTGATATACAAGAATCTATAAAAGTTTATCATGACCACCATGGTGCACCAAGATTCTAGCTTTAGATCTAATATTCCAGAAGACACAAGGCCACAAAAACTGATTTATGCATTGTTGACTTGTACATTCTTCATTTTTCCATATAGATTCACAAGGCCCGGGCTTTTTCGGGCTTATCCAGCCTTCCAAGCCTGTTTTCATCGAGCAAAAAAGGCCCGGGCTTTTATAGGCCAGGCCAGGCCAGGCCAGGATTTGGGTTGAATAAGGGCCCAATTGGGCTTTTTCGGGCTGGGGATTTTTGGGTTGTTTCAGACTTCTCCAGGCTTTTTCAGGTTGGGCCTAGGCTGGGCCTGCCCCTAAAATTCTGGCTGAATCGGGCTTTAAGGCCCAACCCATACCGGGATTTTATATAGCAGGTCGGGCTTGTGTTGAGAAAGGGCCCGATTGGGCTTTTTCAGTCCGGGCTTTTTTGGGTTTTCCAGGTTTAACCTGGCTTTTCCAGGATCTTTCAGGCCGGGTTTTTTTTGGGCTTATACGGACTTTCCAGGCTTTTTCAGGGCGGACCTACCCCTAAAATTTGGGCCTGATTGGGCTTTAAGGCCCAACCTGGATCGGGCTCACTAGTCTCGGGCTTTTTCAGACCGTGCTTCATGCTTGGGCATTTTTGTGCATCTCTATTATACCAACCATACAAACAAACCCCACAAAAGGCCAATCTTTAATGATCAGAACAAAAAGGGACTTCAATGTTCTTGACTAGTTTGTTTCTCAAGGTTATCCCCCTTCTCATCAAGGTACAACTTTTAATGCACAATGTATAAGCTGTTATATACTACATATAACTAGTATTATTTAATTTCCCACCATCAAAGGTGTGACCTTTTCAAGAAATCTTTACAAAACAATACAAACAGAGAAACCTCAAAAAGATTTAAGATCTAACACAGGGCCCAATCATTTACTACATCTAAAGACTCTGCCAGCCTTTTTTATTCATAAATATCATCAAGATTAGCAAATGCCATAATAATAAATTGCAATTGTCAGAGATCTAGCAGACATATACAACCAAGAGCTTAACACCACTCTCCATCATATCATGTAGTAGTACAAAAAACACAATTTAATATAGAACTTGTAGTAAGAGTTTACTTTTAAACCGTTGTTCGATGAGATTTCAAGTTAAAATTACCTATTCGGACGTCATTTAGTCTACAAGATTCCCTATTTTACCATTAGAAAAGGCGGGTTTTTTCGACATTCGAGTATAACTATGTATAAAGGGAATAGAATGGCCAAAAGATGGTCCAGAATGGCATGCTAAAAGAAAGTCTTGATTGCCCACATCTAAATATACCCTTTTCTAGTTTAAGAGGAATCAATTCTAGGAATTCAAAAACCAATTAAATCTATTCAAACTTAGAAGAAAACATTCAAAATCAAGCAGAAATCACCGAGGATTCGAATTCAGAAATCGACATTTTGATCAAAAAGATCAAAGTGTTTCTTTAAGGTTTTATAGAATCAAACAAGTTTATACAAATCCAACTTCTAATCTTTAACTTCACATCTAAATATACACTTTCTAGTTTAAGAGGAATCAATTCTAGGAACTGAAAAACCAATGTAAATCTATTCAAATTTAGAGGAAAACTTTCAAAATCAAGCAGAAATCACCGTGGATTCGAATTCAGAAATCGACATTTTGATCATAAAGATCTAACTGTTTCCTTAAGTTTTTATAGAATCAAACAAGTTTACATAAATCCATCTTCAAATCAAAAAATGAGATACAAATGTGTAAGTTTCTTGAATATAAAGTTCAATCTTATCACCTAATCCATTGAACATTTTAGTTTCTTGTGTTGTTGGAGATATAAATTCACTTCACTTGTATCATATTTTTTGGATTATATTCTTCAATTTGTGGGTCATCCTGGTTTCGACCGACAACAGTCCACATTCATTACACCTCTTTTAATAAAATTGACCCACAAAATATAAAGTTATATCCATGTGATTGAAATCTAAAACTAGCAATTTGGGGAAATCAAGATTCAAAGAAAGATCTATAAACTAAATCAAGAAACTTACCAAGAAAGGAGAAATGGCTCATTCAAGTAATTGTAGACACTAATAATCAAGTTATCATTAGTAACACAATTGATTTGAGGTCCAGGAAACTGCCCATTTATCAATATTCCCTGCAAAACAACAACACAAACCCCAAGAACATTCAAGAAACCCCCAAAATCTGTGTAAATTTAGAGAGAGAGAGAGAGAGATTATACCTGTTGCTTAACACCCAGAGGATAAATGTCACCATAAGTGACTTTCCAAGTGAAAAATCTGTATGGGTCTTCAGCATTGATGGTATTGATGACCAAAAACAGAACACAAATGAAAACAAGATTTCTCTTTTCCACCATTGTTAAAAGAAAGCTTTCAAGATTTCTTGAAAAAAAAAGAAAACCCTCTACATACACCCTTTTAGATACACTTTATGTATGTATATGTGTGTGTATCTCTACATATATGGGTGTATAAATGGAGGGAAGAATGAGAGAGATGAGGGTGTGTTTGTGTGTGTATTTAACAGAAGCTCGTGAGTTGTCAGTAATGGTGATATGTTATTGGAAACAATATATAGAGAAAAATGGCGAATCTGAGGTGGGTTTTTATCTGGTGTGAGATGGGGTATGGTAGAGATCAATGGAGTTTAGGTAGTTTATTCATCTTTCTGTTTTCATATAAATGTAACATGTTTTGTTATAGATTTGAATTTATAATTTTTATCAATAAAATCTAATAAAAATACAAATAATAAATAAAAAAAACGATATAAGGATTTACGTGGATCGATCAGTAAAACTACGATCATAAAATAATTTGAGCCAATGGAAAAAAGAAATAGGTAAGATCAGTTCAACTGTTACAAAATGGTTTACTGGTTTCTACTCCTTAAAACACATATCGACCTCATAGATTTTAAGATGAATTTTAGTTTATAACATCTGGTTTCTGATCACGGTTGTATAATTATGATATGGGATAGATTGAATGTAAAGAGAACAAAGAAAAAGTCTAGATTTTAATTCAAAGAGAACCGAAGGTGTATATCATCTTAATAGTTGGCCATAATTTGAGCAGTGATCATACTTCTTAATCACATATGGTGTTATATAAATATTAGTATAGCAAAAAATGCCTGAAAATGTACAAAATCGGGATTTAACCAAGCCTCCAACTGGTCCTAGACAGTGCCAGGCCTAAGGCTCACTGTTCATAACCAGTATCAGACCCATAACACCTAAGGTTCATTGCTCATAATCCATAACGCCTAAGGCTAACTCTTCATAACAAGTGTCAGACCCATAACGTCTAAGGCTCACTGTTCATAACCTATGTCAGCCCTGTAACCGGTCATTTACTTGGAACATAACATTTGTAACTTGCCCCCAAAGAACAACACAATTGATTTTAGGGTTGTATAGTTGCACAAACAAGTGAGAATTCGAGTTTGACAATCATAACATGAGAGTTACAATTCATTTTGGAAGGCTCCTTCTGAGCACTGGCTCTTTAACTAACCACCTAGAAAGTTGGTGCATACTTATTTTGCCCCACACATAACGTTCTTGGGGCAGGTCAACGTGGGGCGACTCGGATTGCTAATTACAAACCCTTATTGTCTAAACATTTGTAACTTATAAAATCATTAAAAAAGAAAATAAGCTCTTAATAACCATCAACACTAATTACTATTAGATTCAAATCCCAATATACATTCTCATTTGTCACATATTTCATAATAGTAATAAAGTATCTATAGACTTGGGGTCATGTGAGACCAATGGTTTTTTGTGAGACCCGTAAGACCAATTTTCAACCCTTGGATTATATTTGCAACCTGACAATCTGAACATTCATAAACGTCACGAGACTTTTCAGTAATCACAAAATTGCTACCATGCAACTTTAGATCATTAGATTATTAACTTATAAAGTTGATCAATGAACATAAATTGGTCTTACGGGTCTCATGAAAAACCCTTGGTCTCACGTGAACTCGACCCTGTGTCTATAATATACATACACACATACACACATACACACATACACACATACATACCTACATACACACATACACACATACACACATACACACATACACACATACACACATACATACATACATACATACATACATACATACATACATACATACATACATACATACATACATAGGGGAGGGATAAAATGCAAACTAGGTCATTTGTACAAACCGTCGATTTCACTGTTTAATTTAATGAAATTGTTTCATATAATTATTTTCTTGAAAAATTTGTTTATATATTTTTGTTTCTACGTAAAAATGAAATTGTTTCATGTATTTTTCATTTTGATGATTTTTCTAAAGTTAATATAATGAAGATGTCTATAATTAACGTCTTCCGCGATAAACATGACTAATCAACCCTCATAATTAAATAAATGTAAAAAAAAGGAAAAATTATGAATGGTTGAATGAGGTTTGTACGGTTTATATAAATGACTTAGTTTGCATTTGATCTCTACCTTGTATGCGTAAATGTATATCTCTATGTATTTTGTTATATTTTTATATGCGATCCTCAAACTAGCCCTTCTACAAGGACTGTTATTGCAATATCTAAAACTTAAGGGGCGAAAACATTAATCATTGAGCAATTCAAGGGGTAATTTTGTAAATAAGTAAGTCAACCTACACCTTGGAATTGTAACATTTATTAAATGGTATAATATATTAAAATGTAATGAAATTTGTTTTAATTTTTTTTTTAAATGTGATATTGTTGGCATTTACGTTATCAATAGTTACAAGATCTACTGGTTATCGGTTAAATAAATACAAAATATAAATAACTGAACAAATGAGAAATGAGTCCAATTCTAAAGGATCAAACCTATGGAAATCCAATCGTAGATGTTATGCCAGTAATACCCCTGAAAGCGGGGGACTGCAAATCATTTTTCCCCGGTTCAAATCAATTAATTTCAAATAAGTCGTATCTTACTCTTTGTTACACAATATACGAACCAACGCAAAATTCTTTACACGTTGATTCATTTCGATCTTGAAAGTTTCCCCACCGTTAAAGGTTGTATAATCTCATATATTCTTCGAAACATAAAGTTGATGCTTGATAAAAAAACGAATACTGTGAAATTGACTGTAATCTGGTTAAATAAAACCTATTAATATAAATTATTGCAAAAAAAAATGCTGGTTTAATCTTAATATTATGAATTCTAATTAACACAGTGTCATATAGACTTATCAAAATAGATCTATACAGTTTATCATATATATATATATATATATATATATATATATACTCGTTGACAATATTTAAATTAAAATTTATTATATTCAAATATTAATATACTTGGATTTATATTTAAAAAAAATACTATTCCAGTTCATACCCATGTTGGAATTTTGGAATCCATAGTGAGGACCATGGATAGTGGCTTAGAATATCATATACCACTCAAATGGAAGATGGGTATTCCATGTTTTGTGCTCAGTAATTCAATTTTGCAATTATTAAATTACTAAAATACCCTTTCGGTTATTTATAGAAATGTTCCCTTGGTTAGTTGTTTTTCTTCAAACACACGTATGAAGTGAAATTCAGTCGCTGCTAGAAAACTGAGTATCACTTTCATCAGTTGGATTAATTAATTTAGTTTTTAACATCTGATAGTTATTGATCATGATAGGACTGACTCACGAATAAGATATGTAAAAATAACCCCAAAGTATTGTTTGAACACAATCATACGTAGAGATGAACAAGACTTGGGTTTTTCGGGTCTGGACACGGGCCTTTCAACCCCATTTTCAGTGAGAAAAAAGCCCTACCTTATTTAGGCCAGGGTCGGATTTTGGTTGAAAAAAGGTCTAATCAGATTTTTTCAACCCAAGTCTGCCCTCAAGTTTCAGTCTAATAGGGTATTGAGGTATGGCTTAGATTGGGCTTCAGGGTCACTTGGCCCTGGGCTTTTTTGGCCGAGTTTTAGACTTGGACTTTTTTGTGCATCTATAATCATACGTGTGATGTTGAAATTGCATTTAAGAAACAAATAACAGTAAAATGAAACTAAGAATCAAAGTCAATTTCCCAAGTTGTACGTCATATATGATGTTATGTTTGTATGCAATGATGGCTAGATACACCCAAAAATATTAGTTTTATGGTAGAAGAAAACAGTCAGTAAACAGACGAAGGTGAAATATCATATATAATGATGAAACGAATAATTTTAACCAGTAAAATAACATAATACGGTGAACGTATTATTAGGGATGAAAGTTTTAAACGATTTTTGTTCAAGGGACTGTTATTGTAATATCCAAAAGTGAGAGAGAAAAATTGTTATTTCATAATAGTCAAGGGGTAAGTTTGTAATTTGCTAAGTCAACTATCTTTTGGAATCATAACATGTTTTGAATCAATTCCCGCCGGTGATTGTAAACTCACGTTTACTTTTGCATCTAGAACATAAAATTTGACATATTTGCCCTTGAATGAACAGTTTAGGTTGCAGATGGATAGGGGTAGAAAAGGGAAATAGTTATGTGAAGTTTCCTGTAATTCTGTTTTGAATGTGACAGATATAAGATGATAAATTACTTTTTTTAAGGTTTTTTATATGAAATAATATGTATGAAAACATGATGTTCATAGAGTCTTGTTTCACATGTAAAACATCTATAAATGTTTCACATATGAAACAACATTGTATTTTCACACATGTTGTTTTATATATAACTAATACATGGAAATTTTGAAAAAAAAAACTTGGTTTTTTGTACAAAATTTTCCTTCAAAATCTTATTGAATAAACCATTTTTTATATTATTAAGTTACTATCAAACAACCATATATAACTGATTTAATAAGCTGTAAACTGCTAACAAACAAACGTATATAATAAATAATTTACATTTTTTGGCGTAAAGTATATTCTTTTTTTAAATAAAAGACCAAATTTTCACCGACAAATTATTTATATTATTTATGATTTTATTAAATTAAAAGAATAAAAAATATTTTTTTGAAATTATTTAATCGGTTATTTATTGCGCTATGGACCCGCTTGTCAGAGTTGTGAAGAGGTGCGCCACCTGTGACTTTTATTTATTCATATGTGAATATCAATTAATATTTGTATTTATTATTAGTAGTTTTAAGACATTTGTTTAGAATTTTAATATTTTATAATAACTAAATACTTAACCAAAACAGAATATTAAATGAAATATAATATTAGGGGTGTTCGCGGTCCGGTTTGGGCGATTTAAGCCCTCAGACCACAAACCAAACCGTAATGGCGGTTTGTGAAATTTTCAGACCGAGCGGTTTGAAACCAAGTGCCCAGATCGGTCAAACCAGACCACGAAAAGGCGGTCTGGTCCGACCGGTTTAGGCGGTTTGGGCCTTTAATGGGCTTTAAACATTAAACCCAAAAAATCTAGTGTCATATGTACTATTAAAGTTTAAACTCAATTTAAACAATCCAAAGTCCAAAGTCCAAACAAATAAATATGTAAAACATACCAAAAATCAAAGTAAAAATAGAATCCAAATCTTAGTGTTCATTGTTTAAAAAAAGTCAAAACACTAATATGTAAAGTGCAAACTTCAAACAAAGTCCACATCTTCAGTTCTTCAAAATCCATAAAGATTTTTTCTTTATCAAACAGGAATGAGTAATCTGTAGAAAAAAATGACATCATATAAATTAAAAGGATAAAAGATTGTATGAAATGTGTGAAAGAAGTAGGGAACCAATCGAAACTTACGTTATAGCGATCCAACAAGTTTCTAATCAATCATTATCAAGACTCCCAACTTCAGCCTTCAGATGGGGMTTCGATGGATTTATCTACAAAATTTAAAAATAAATTAGATAAACAAYATAAATAAAAACAACGTAATCTAAAATTGAAGTAATGTAAATTAATTTAAATTGATTACCCGGTTCCATATTTTCGTAAACATCCATCTCTTCCAAAATAGAAGMCAAATCTAACGGCAAATTCGTGGATCTCAACCAATTTTGACAWCAAATCAAAGTTTCAACCATTGAAGAACTTAATGAACTCCGAAAACAATCAAGAACTCTCCCTCCGGTGCTAAAAGCGGACTCCAAAGCCACTGTTGATACTTGGACAGCAAGAACATCTCGAGCCAATGCAGACAAAATAGGATACTTTGATGACGCCACTTTCCAYCATTCTAAAATAYTGAAGTTSTTATTTTTCCTATCTTCATTGCGTTCACTTAAGTACCTTTCAAGTTCATTTTGCATGTTCAAAGAGTCATCTTCATCACATTCTTTGTCAAACTCAGATTCAAACATCCTGACCGAATCTTCATCATCGGAATCTACTATTGGCACATGATCTTGTGTTTGATTAACACTATCTGCTTGATGCTCTACTTTAAGCTCACTAGTATAATGAACTACTAGCCTTGAAAGACAACTTTTAATGGAATCCGTGATAATGGTAATTTCATCCTCACTATAAAGTTGTCTCAAGCAAAATGTAACGTATTTCAATTTGTATCTCGGATCAAGTACAATAGCCACATAAAGAATCACACTTTGTTTGTTCGTGGTCCCCCAATAATTATCAAATTTCTTTTTCATCCTTAAAGCCATTTGTTTCAAGTTCTCTTTATCACTTGAACACCATTTGTTAATCAACCCATGAACTAACGACAACTCGTGAAAATAAACATTTGAAGTAACATGCAAAGAAGCACTGAACTTTAAAGTGGCATCATAAAAAACCTTCAAAAACTTACAAAACATGGCACATTGCTCCCAATCCTTAGACGTCGGTGGCCCAAGCGGCTTTTTTCCATTTCTATCATCTTCAATAAAGTACTGAATAAAGTAATCATCCTCTTTTTCTAATAACTTAAAAGCCTCCACATATTTCAAAGCATGATCTAACATCAAATATGTGGAGTTCCACCTAGTAGGCACATCCAAACAAACAAGTGCTTTATCTTCTTTACACGTATTTTTTACACAACTTTTAAATCTTGCTAACCTAGAGGGGGAAGATCTAACATACCTAACTGCATTACGAACAGCAGCTATAGAATAGTCCATTTCTTT